ATCGGCTATATGCAGCTGAAAAACAGTATGCGGCTCTGTTGTTGAGAAATCATTCACACCCAAAAAATGACTAGCAAAAAAAGGTGATTGTAACGCTACGCGTGGTTCCCTGTTTTTTTTAATAGACAATACCTGTTTACTCCAAAGACGTTGACAAGTTCTGGTTTAATATTATTTTTGCTAAAAACACGAATTTTCTCATCAAACAAACCACTTGCGGGTTCGGAGCCGCAGGTCGCCGACCACTGAGCAACGCAAATATATTTAAAACGTATTTTGTGGTTTCCTGGACAAGATAAATATTTAGTAACTCTCTGTGTAACCAAAACCTCTCCTCAAAACTGCTACCTAATTATATTACATTATACATAATTCTCCATTTGCGTAGGTCTACAGAATCTCCCTTTCATACTAATATTAGGTTCTCGTTAATAAGATTTTATTTGTTAATTAATTCGGTAAAAGCCTCGTTAAACTTAGTTACAAGAAAAAAATAGCTTAAAGTGTATCTCATGGGAAAGAAAAGGCCGTTAGCAAAATTTTAAACAGGCTCAAGGGTGCTTTCAAAAGGCGTGCGTGTCCGCAATTTCAAGAGGAAATTATTATTAATTTCACCGGCGCAAGTGGCAACACATGAGTTTAATATATATTTTTAATATGATAGTTAAATCTAATTTGAAAAGATGCTACATTTATCGTGTTTGGTTTTGCTGCATTTTGTTGCTGGAATCAACTGGAACGTATGGAATTTCATTACGTTTTATATGCTGTACGAAATTCGTATCCGAATAAAAGGCTTTCAGAATATCGCATTAAAGGAAACATTATTAAAACTTTCAAGCGAACAATTTGTTTGTATGTTCTTCATGAATGTTAAAAAAACTATCATTTCTAATTTGAATGACGTCCTTTTTAATATCAAGTTTTATCATTTAAAATATGTATGTATGAATACTATAAAAGCAGTTGTGAATACGAACAACTTGCACGATTTGTAGATTTGTCTATTCTCTTAATTCATTAATCTCTTAGTAAATGATACATCAAAATATTTAAATTCCTTTAACTCGTTGTTATTTACATAATTTTCATATTGTAATATGTTTACTTTAAACAATAAACTGAGTCTAAAAATAAATTACAAATTTTATATAAGTTAACTTCAGTAGTATTGATGCTCTGCGACTATTTCCTTTCACTGTGGATCTGCTGCTATCATTGTAATTGTCCTTCGACTTGGCTAAAGGTCCATATGCTGAACCTCATTCATTTTACTATCCTTCTGTGATGAACGATGGTCCTATTGCTGCAAGCACCGAGAGGGCTCACAGAGGGCCTAGCTTGACCAGGATTCGAACCGTCGCCCACTAAATCGTGGGTAAGGCGACTTAACCATTCGGCTATTAGTCGACCCCATCAATATAATAAAGACTAAATTTTTAGTTAACCCTTTGTGGTCCTATTTAATTCTGTCAAAACTGTCGATTTTTTTTTGATAAATTAGGTTAAAAATGTCTAATACTTTACGAATGAATTCATGATCAAATTTTATAAATAAAAAATAAACTCTAATCCTTGGTCGTAGGATGCATAAATTATCATGCTTCATCGATCTTTAGTTTTTAAACTTGTACAATAATTAAGGTCATCGTGTAAATCCTAGGATTTCCATTAATTCAAGTACATGTTTGTTCCATCTAAACCTCTCACCCTAAATATATTTTTTATAAATCGTGGATTTATTTCTGTTCTGGACGTACGTTGTTTATGTCCCACATCACAACCGTGGCATAATTTATTTCCATTTCGGAAATTACAGGAATTACAATACCTAATTACGAACATTTCCACGAAATAAAGTGATTTACATGGAAAGCAGTAAAACATTTTTTTGCACAAATCCCTTGGCAATAAATAGTGTGTCGAGTTAAATCGATTTTTGTACCATTTCCATCTAGAATCGTCTATTGATTTTACAAATTGAAAATGAGAGAATGTTCCGGAAATGGAACCGGATTGTATGCAAATTTCAATTATCTCTATCGGAAAACCGGACTCTTCGAGTTATTTGCTTTGTTTGGGGGATAATTATACTTGCTTATCTGGTATTCCGTCCGACATCAGAATTATATTGCGTGCACATATAATAATAACATCAATGTTAGTAGATACGAGGAATACTATTGTACCTAATGTAATTACCTTAGGTGAACGTAACATACGACTGCTCCACTAATTTTGCTGTGTGCATGTTCATTGGAGAGATGATAATTGGTCATGAATATTGCATAGTCACGACGCTTTCTGCTAGGATTGAGAACAACGAACTTGCAGATTTGTACGCTCTTCGTGCGATTTGCTCATACGACCACCATCAATAACATTCGTGTACCATCAAATTGCCTTTTTGATAGAAATTTATTGGAGTTTGAAACTAGACACGCGATAGAAGCGCACGTTCAAAATATTGTCCAACACGCGACTGCTTTCGTTTGTTTTTATTAATACGCTTTTAATTGCAGTGCTAATAAACTTTATCACGAAATTGATCAGAAGATGACTGTAATTAGGGATTTTTTATTACATTATGTCTAGTTATTTCATTAAATTTTAAAATTTTTTGTTTATTATATTTAGAAAAAAAAATACAGTATTATCTTAGAAGGTGTCATATTTAGTAATCCAAGTTCACTATAGTCCGGTGTGTAAATCAAAATTTTAAGTCTCTTTGTGCAATTTATTATTCTGCGGTTTTAAAGTTCTCGATTAATTCGGTTTTTAACATACTCAGTGGGACCGTATTATATGAATACATAAGAAATCTAAAAAACAATTCTCGATAACTCAATATTTTGCATTAAAAATTGATTGGACTATAGGAGGTATTAAATTAATATTTTTTTTTAGAAAAGATTAAGTTTACTTAAGAAAATGAAACCATTGAGCGAAATATGTTATAGGTCTAACACTTTGTAATAATTGTTTTTTTTTATGTTATTTTTATTATTTTTTATATGCGACTATTATTCTGAAACTAAAGTTTAGTTTAAGCAAAAAATGTGTAAAAACACATATTTTTAGTAAGTTGTAAAGTGCAAATGTTCAGAAGAACTATAGGATGTTATTGGGTCAGTTAGATCTTGAAAAGTTTAATTGTTGTTAAATAATGTTTTTAAGTGAATGCTCAATACAAAGATTCATAGATGATATATTGTGGAAAAGCGAACTGCGAAACTTTACCTAATTAACATTGATTTTTAACAATAATAACGCGTTGTTATTTCATAATCATTAATCGGAAGATTAACAGAAGATAAATATTAATTTTTTAGACCTGTCAATCTTATACAAAAGAAGGCGCCAAATTTGAATCCGGCGATTTTATTAAGGTACACTATACGATGATTTTTTGGTATTGGCTTTCCTAACACAATTTTATATTGTAAATTTTGGTTAAACGAATTTTATGCGGACTTTTACGCGATATCCACGGGGAGCAGAAGTGTAGCGATAAACTGATTCTATTCCCCACGGCTTTACCTTTTATTTGCATATCAATCGCCTAGAATCCGCATACAATAGCTCTACAGGGTAACGAAACGACCAATAAATATATCATTGATTAGAAAACAATATTTTATTTGCAATGTTTATATCTTATAGCTTTTTACCAGAAATCCTTACTAAAATAATAATAAGAGAGGTAAATGATGATAGAGTAATATTTTTTTTACATATTTACCAAAATATATGCATTTACGCATTATGAGGATGAGTGTTTGTGAATTCTGCGTAATCTTTAAAGTTGAGAAATCAAGTCTTGAACGCTTCAAAATACAGAAATAACTCACTTAGTCCGGATTCACTATCGTTTGGTATACGCATTTTAAAACAAATTAAATTTTAAAATAAATTCTAAAAAAGTAATACATATTTACATGATTGGTTTGTTCCTATTATACACTCTACAATTTTATAATCCTCTATTAGTCCGGGTATCAACAGTTCGGGATATTGGAAGGACTAATAACCCGGACTATTCGAGGTATTTCTGTACTTTTTTTTTATGTTGTGTAATTTTATTTACAATCTGTTCATCAATGTGAATATTGAGTAAATGTAGGTCTTGTAGGTTAACTTCAGTAGTATATTGATGCTCTGCGATTGCACTGTGAATCTGCTGCTATCTTTAACACTGTCATTGTCCATCGACTTAGCTGAAGGGTGAGGGTCCATATGCTGAACCTCATTCATTTCACTGTCCATCTGTGATAAACGATGGCCGTATTGCTGTAAGCACTGAGAGGGCTCACAAAAAGGCCTCTGGCTTTGACCAGGATTCGAACTGGCGACTTGAATAACTAAACTTAATTTTGTGTTTATATTTAGCAAATAGTGATTTACGGAATTTAAAAAAATATTGTTGTTAACAATATTATTGTCTAAATGTTCAATTAATAAAAAATGTCTATATTTATAATAACAATTTTATTAAGTTTCTTAAAGCTGCAACTTTGTTGTAAATGTTCAATACAAATTTATAGAGATTGGATTCAAACAAATGTATATATCTCACAGTGGTATCCTTACGACGCTATAAACGTAACGATAAGTTTAAGTTCCATCTCGGAGATTATTCGAAACCGCATTCGTATCATAGCTGGATCGAACATAAAAAACGAAATGCAGAACATACTTTCTTTTTAGAGACATATTGGCGAAGCGGCGCGCAACTTTCAATTTGCATGCAAATTCACGTCAAAGGCGGCTTCCGGAATAGCAAAATGTGCGGCTCCTCCGGAATATGATACACTGCAGGCAGCACTTTTATTGCAAATTAAATCGTAATTCTAGCAATAAATTGAAAAAAAAACCGAAACTAAATCTGTAGGTTCATTAAAATTCACGTATTAGAATTACCATTTTCCGGGCGTTTTAAAGCGATTCTCGACGTTTGCTCCTTGATATTTTACAGGATTTTAATGTGATTTGGGTTTCAGGAATTGGAGATTCGGAAGCTGGTATTGCACAGCGAATAATTTCATCGCTAACATGACTGTCGCGGCCAGCGTTTTCACTTTGACAGCCATCTCGTGCGACAGGTAAGGGAATTTCCGACGATTTCTCGTTAATTTCTGTATAAATCGCATGCTTCTGTCGCAGATACTTGGCCATAGTTCATCCATTGAAACCGAGGATGTCCAAGGTCTTTTCCATCTTCGTCATCTTTCTGATCTGGATATTCAGCATGTTGCTGGCCATTCCTTGTCTTCTTTACTCAACCACCGTCACTTACAGGTAAATAAGTTAAATATGTCATAAAAATAAACTTTATTGCAACAGTCATAACAATAACAATAATAATAAAAGATTAAATGCTGAAAGTATCCGCATCATAGGTTTTTTACGCTTAAAAAAGTAATTATTTTTTTAAATTTATTAATAAATTATTGTTCTGACATTTACATAAGTTTGTCAGTAAATAAAATTGGAAATAAATACAAGATGAAAGTGGAACTATTGCTATAAGAGTAAATATCATATTCTTTTATTTAATTATATATTTTCTGTCATTAAAAAGTATTTCCCCTTTGCTCAATTTTTGTTATTGTTTTAATTAAGTTATATAAAAATAAATTATGGGACAATTGTTAGGACAAAATTATTTACTTATACATAAATCATCTTTTTTTCCCATCTTCTGTCAAGTCTATGTTTGTACAGTTTATTTTTGTACTCTATTAGTCTGGTTTTAAAAAGTCCGGCATATTGGTAGAATTAATAATTTTTTGTGTTTTAATATATAAAAAGATATTTTTGTTATAAATTAGTTGAAGATTCACAATATTATTTGTTTGTAATGTTTATATCTTATAGCTATTTTACCAGAATACTTTCTAAAATATTAACAAGATTAGTAAATGATGATAAAGTAATATGTAATAAATTAATAGGAGGACATAATCGAGTTTCAAAAATTTAAAAATTGTCTTCTTTTTTAAGGTTGAGATATATGCTGGCTGTAACAAATCTTGAACGCTTCAAACACACAGAATCACTATCATTGAATGGGTAAATTACCCCAAACGGAATAGAAGTTAATTCTTAGTTCAGCAAATAAATTTCTATGTATCTATGAATAATATTAGAATTTGTTATCATGAATAAAGTGTTACCATATATAAAAGTTCCCTGACTTATAAATTAGTTGACATAAAATAAGTATTATCAATTTGTTTTGCCTTTTTTGTCAATCTCGAGGTTATATCATTTATTCATCAATAATAATTCAGAGGTTGGTGAACATGGGTAAATGTCTACACATAATGTAGATGTTAATTCTTTGAGGTAATGAGGACATTCAACAATTAAAATTATAAGTATCTGTGAAAAAATATTGGACTTTATCGAGCTCATCATCGTAAATTAATATATTTTGAGGTCATATATAAAAGTTCTCTGACTCCTGTCATAATTATAAATTAGTTGACATAAAAAAAGTGTTACCAATTTGTTTCGGCTTTTTTTTCACTGTTGAGGTTATGTAATTACTGCTTCCATAATAACTCAGGCGTTGGTGAACCTGGCTAAATGTCCACAAATGGGGTAGAAGTTAATTCTTTGGGTAATAAGGACGTTCAGCAATTTAAATTCTAAGTATACATGAAAAATATTAGAATTTGTTGTCACAAAAGAAGTGTTATCAATTTGCTTTGACTTGTTTTTGTTAATGTTGAGGTTAAGTCATTAGTTCTTATAATTATACATTTTCTGTCATAAAAGAACCGTTACTAATATGATCTGCCTTCTTTATATTAATGTTGTGGATATGTCAATTTTCAATCGACAGTCATAAAGTATAGAGCATCAAATTTTATCGTAACATCTCAACAACGTATATTTATTACCTGTTTTATACCTAAATACATGTGACAATTTATGTCTTCGTTAGATTTATCTTGTTTCCTGTTATATCGATTCACATTGCACTTTTCTTGGAATAATTGGATTGAGACAACGACTTCTATCAGTATAACGATGCACGTAAAACTCCTACGCTTCCTTCAGCTTTTCCTATAAATTCAAATTATACCAGTTTATCTTCCAGTCAATTGCACACTATAATTTTCAATAGAAATCATTACATTAAACATATTGGATTTACAATACTTTATAACTAATTGCTATTGTATATGTGTATTTTAATCATGAAATTCCTTTTAAAGTTGTAAATTATAATACTTTGTATTTATAAGCTGTAGTTCTAAGATTTTTATACTCTTACACGCTTCGAGAAATTACATTGAAAGTCATAAATCACATTACCATACTTTGTAAATATTTTATACGTTTATTTTAATTATTTTTTTCTTCTTTGTTAATCTTTTGACAATACTCTATACCAAAATATATAAAAAGAATGAAGCGAATTCATATTTTTTTCAGTCAAAACAAGGTAATATTAGGTTCATTTTTATTTATACGTATACATTATTTCTCAATTATTATACAGTCATATCTCAGTTAACGTTACAACTGATAACTAAGCCTTGATATAATAAAATGCGCCTAAATGAAGATAAATCAATATTTGAAAAATAATTTTGAAGAAAAATCTTTTTTATTAGACAATTCTTCGTTACATCCTACAGATCTTAACATGTTCGATACAAGCATTCCTGTCAAAGTTATATTTCTTCCAGCAAACTTCCTTGATTCAACCATTGGATCAATAGGTAATAGCATCATTTCAATTTTATTATCTGCTTCAAACTTAAAACAATTTAATTGAACTAAAAGATTGAAATGTGACTTCAAACTTTTTTCAGAGAATAGGACAATAAAAATGCAATTGAAAACATTGAAAGTTCTTGGAAAGAAGTCACTAAGAAATGGAGAAATTGGACTTTGGTTCATTTGGGAAGTTGTAATATAATCATGGCGTTTATAAATAAGTTCTTATTTGTTCAGGAAGGCCACCTCTATAAACGAAGTTTCACTTAACAAAGTAATTTTGTTATTCATGAATCGAGGTATTACTGTATTATTTAATATAACAACACATAAATTTATACAAAGAAACTTTGTATTTATTTCACTTTAGATTTTAATTACAAAAATAAATTATATCAAAACAAATACTGGTTACAAACTCTTTCTATAATATTTTATATAAAAATACTCTCTTCTTGTGAATAAAACTGCGTAATTAGTAAATTTTATATCCATTTATATAGCCAAGGAAAAAGTTGTTTTTTTTTCTACTTTTCTCTTCTTTATTTCTATCGCTTTTGATTAGCCTCAACCGCAATCCAGTCGGGGTATTGTACTTTTCTCACGGCGAACTTAATTCGGATGTCAATTAAATCTTATGGACATCCGGCGATTGTGGAAGTAATTTGTGGGTTCTTACACTAAACCGGATATCAAACCGCGCGACAGAGATTACTTACTTGAAGAGGAAATTGCATTGGATAGGAAGGAAGGTGGAAAAAAACTACACACAAAAAATATACCCAGGGTGTTTTAACGATTTATTTCTTAAATTTTTTACTATACCATTTTCTCCAACTTCCGACGAATAAACGAGTACGGGCAACGCATGGTTGGCATTGGGAAATTGTAAGAGGAAAAATTATGATTATGCTTTTTTAACGTGATTTTTATGTCATGAGATTTTTAAATGGGTTTAGGAAATTTGTTTTAGAATATAGTAAAGACTTCTAAAACGTTTAACATATGTTAAATTATAAACATAACTAAAGCAGTCATAAAAAAAACTACCCTATTTTTCAAGTATAAGACGCTCCCTTGTATAAGACTCACTTTAATTTTTGTGGCGCGAAATTTGAAAAAAAAATCTATTGCATAAACAACTGTAAAAGATACACTAAGTTTTTTAAATCCCCAAATTTTTAGAAAAATGATGCGTCTTATACTAGAAAAATACGAAAATTAAAAATAATACTATTGAAAACCATTAATTTTTATGTATATTTATTTAAAAAACAAGTTATGAAACAAAAAACAATAATAAAACTAATTGCATTTAAAATGTGTAAATAAAAAATATTGGATTTTCATAATTGATGTGTTAAAAATACTAATTTCATATATCAAAGTTAGTTTCATTAATTATAAGATTATTTTTAGTCTGTTTTTCTAATGATAGCAAAATCTATTACGTAAATAAAATTAAAATATCTAGCTAATATGTCATTATATTCTTGCAAAGCCTACTATTTTACTATAATTCTTTAATATACCTCGCATAGTCCGGGCAATCGTGTCCTACAATATCCAGGATTATTTAAAACCAGACTAATCGAATAACTTATGTTAAAACATAGTTTGTTTTGAATTATTCATATCGAACTAAAGAGAATCCGTACTGATCGAAGCCGCACAATGCAAAGTGTTTGTATTATTACTATAATATTTTTACTGTTTATATTGATAATAAAACAATTAGATACAAAAATATGTATATTTTTATATTTTCCTTATTTTAAAAATAAAACGATCAGGTGATCCAAATTGGGCAACTTTTTAAAAAATCTAGTAAAGCAAAAAAGAAGTTGACAGTTGATCTTTTTCAAAGGGCTGTTTATTGTCATTACAAATAGTATAAAAAATATGACAGTCCAGGTAGTCCAAATTGGGCAACTTTTATTCCATATAAAATTGTTATTATATTATTATACTATATTGTTATCATCGTGTTATTCTTTCATTTTGTCACATATAATGTATTTTTGATTGAATTTTAGAGGATAAATAAATTCTTTTGCAATTCAGGAAACGTGGGATATTCGGAAAATCAACAAAGCTAGAGAAACGTTCATTCGGAAGAGGAAATCGCCGGATCGAAAAGTATCCGCAGCGGCATCTTTCTCGTTTCAATAGCATCAGTTCTTTTTTACTTCCTGCATTTTTACAATGCTCTTTCGAAAAGAATATTTCCGTTTGCGAAACACATAAAAAAAAAGAAATGTAGAACTCGTCTAATGACTTTCTTGGGGTGAAATTAAAATAGGGCCGTTCGTTCGTTCGTTCGTTCATTCGCAATAAAGATTTAATTATGGGGAGTGTAAAAAAAACATTTCATCTGCTCTCATTGTGATCATCCCTTAAACCTCAACCTTTAGGAAATTTGCGGACGGAGTACAGTCTCCGAGGGCTTTCCGCCAATTCCCTAATCCCTTAAAAACAAGTCCAAGTAATTATTGTTTCGTGTCTTCTGCTCTATTTTTATTTTCTTGTTGTTCTTCATCTGTTCGCAGAGGGAAGCGCACCGCCTGCATCTTGATTTGGCCGGACGGTCAACCCACCATTTCACAAATGGATTTTCTGTGAGTGAAAATCCTTTTTTCTCTCTACATTTAGAGTTTAAATCCCGACAGCATCTTTTACTATTTTATATAGACTTATTCATAATTCATAACATTAGCAATAAAAAATACTGTCGGGATTATGGTTTTCGGGATTTCGAATGTCGGGATTTAGATTGCCACCGTTATATTTACTTTATTTCTTACTTTGCATCAGGTATCAAGTGATCTTTTTGGTGATCACTTACTGCGTGCCGATGGTCTTGATGTCTTGTTGCTACACGTGCATGGGTCGCGTCCTCTGGGGCTCCAAGTCCATCGGTGAGAAGACCCAAAGACAAGCAGATGCAATTCAGTCGAAGAGAAAGGTAAGAGAGAAAACCATTACGATTTAATCCTTAAGATTTAATGGACGGGTTTCATAGTAATGCACGTTCAGTATATAATATAAGTATGGAGCGGACAGATTTCTTGGAAAATATCCTGGAGAGCTGAGATATTGCTTTAATCTAAAATGTGTCAGTGGTAGTGGAAGTTTTGCAACGACGTGTAACGAGCGAAAAAGGGATATTTATACGTGCATGTCTCCTGTTTCAATACCAAACATCCATCGCCCCAAGATACAGAGCAACAAGTGTTTCAGTGCTGTCTCCATTAGTTTTTTTTATTATGTAACTGAGAACTGCAAACACCCAACGGGGCTTTCCATTACATTACAGATTTCCAAATTCAGTTAATGTTCATGTTTCATATCCATGTACAAATCCTGGAAAAGTATGTGATTCACCAAATGCAGCACTTCAGTTGAAGAATCATTACTTACTTTTTTATTGGTGGAAAGTCTGCATTCCAATCCCTCAATATTATATTAACTTGCCTATCGCATTAAACCAACTTTCTAAGATATGCACATATCATTTAATATGAAAAATGTTTTAATTAAATATCAAGTTCAGTGGAGCAATACAGGAGGGCCCACAATTGGAAACCCTCACTTTGGTCCCCGTAATCGTTTTTCTAAAAAAAAAATAATAATTGGACATACAAAAGATACAGCCCCCGCCTTCATCAACAACAAAAATACTCGAATTCGTCAATATATATTTTGTTGTTAATTTGATAAGTTGCTGAAGGCCTAGGGCCACGATTAACGCGGCCACCCCAAACAGTGTAGTGGACAAGTAAACAAAGAACAACAATATAAAAGGGTCTTCGGTCCATACTTGTGTAAGGGCACAATATTTCTGGCTATTTTGATTTTTTTAAGGTTCTAAAAAAAATAGTAATTATATTAAAAAAGTTACAAAATATTAATTAAAACAATATTAGTAAAATTATTGTAAATATGTTTCTATAATTTAAGAAAATAAGGACATTAAAACTTCGTTTTCAATATCAATTAAGCATCTTTATAAATCTTTGGGTGTTAACATTTAATTTTTTTAATAATATCTTCATTTCTTTGCTAACAAGGTTATCTAAACTTTTCAGTGAAAAACATCATCTTCTGTATACAATTTACTTCTCTAATTTTTGGGATGTTATTTTCTTCTTATAGTACAGCTTTCGGCCTTATTTTATAAAATTATATTTTAAAACCTTTTTTATAATTTAACAAAAAAAAAGAAAGACAGGGAAACGTAGGTTTGGTTAAAATTAAGGCCAATAAAAATGTGTAAATAAATAAGAAAATATTATTTTCATTCAAAAAGCTTTATGTCTTCAATAAATAATGTTCTGAACCTGTAAAATAAATGGTTCAGCAGCGTATCAAACTACCTATATCTATACTCCCTAATACTAACTACAAAATATTCCCATCTCCCCTATTAGTCTTCCCATTAATCCTTCAAGTTCTTTGATATATTTGGTAATTTGTGATCTACAGTAGATATTTACATGTGCACTAAATCAGTATAATGCGTGGAAGACCACTTTGTGGACCTTACATTTCGTAATCAATTTATCTTGGTATAATGTATTGCACTATTTACCAAATAAGATAAAATTGGGTCAACAATGCCTAAGCTTGAGTAGAGATTACAATGATTTGTTGCATAGGATACGCAACCCCTTTCAACTTCACCCTTTATTTACCCTCTTATTGTCCTAAAATTTAATTCGAAACTCTTTAATCTTGATTTTGTAAAGTTCTGTGGTTCTTACAGAAATTTGATCCTTTAATTCTACACTTACATAGTAAATAGTGAACATTAATGATTTTCTTAATTATTATGTATTTCTCGTATATGCTATACGGAAATAATTTGTTAAGCGAAACTTCGTTTTCAGAGGTAAACATATTATTACCAGAATGGGGTATATGTTGCGTTGTAAAGAAACTTACAAAGCGTAACACATTTGAAGAACTGAGTCTCAAATGTATGTTCGTTTTCTTTCTTTCATTTAACAAAGCTTACAAAGCTAAATCTTCCACTATAAAGCCATCAGCGTCTGTATTTAATAAAGTTCTAACATCTTCTTCATGAACATATTTAAAACTAATTAATCGAGACTTCTGGATAATTTCTTCGATGTTATTTACTTGTTTTAATGCAATTTCTGATCATATTTTATTGATAGATGAAATACAATAAACTATTTATTTTAAAGTTGTTTAATCAAAAACAAGAAGCTATCAAAAAGATATGCATAATACTTTAACTTCAATATAGTAAAATAGATGTTTTCCAGTAGAAAGTTTTCCGATGCAGTTACCATAAAGACTGTCTACGTGTCACCTGTGGTAGCAGACAGGAGATAATACGGTCGTATTCTAAAGAGATTTATGTTAAAATCAATACTCCGTTCTGCAAATTGTAAAAGTATATTCAGTTTCATATATTAACATACCTGATATCAAACAAAATAATTTTAAATATTTTAATAGAAATATACATATTTAATACAATTATTCCATATTTAATATAACTAATTAGTAATATATTATTTTTTCTATTATTTTAACAATAAATCTACAAATATTTAATACACGGTTTCATAATTAGTTCCAGATCCTTGGACTTATATCAAACAGAACGTATACAAAACGATTTTAAATGTAAACAAACTTTAATTTGCTCTTTCCTGTCTCTTTTTACATACTTGGAACTAGTTGAGAAACATTAGGTTTTACGATTACTAAAAACTATATTTTCCTTAAGATGTTTCAGAAATGTTATATTATATTCTAGTTATATGTTGCACCAAACTTCATTTAAGCATTTTTTAGTGACTCATTTCCAATGACAATTGCGGACTTCTTTATATCTAAGTTTCGTCAATTGAGTCATCATTGTATTTGGTAAATTTTAATTGGTAGTCAATTATTGCCCTAAGATATTTCAAATCTGATATGAAAATACGGAGACAAATCTAATTGGATTTAGTTGTCGTCACCAGGGACGGACATATCCCATCGCTGCACGTCAATTCTTTTAGTATCCGCATGATTGAACGCACGAAACCACAATTTAAAATGTAAGCAGAATATATTTAAAAAATAAATATCCAAGTTTTCAATCATTTTTTTTTTATTTGCAATCATTTTAAAATTATTATATTATAGTTTAATAAAAATATTTTTTATAACAATTATATGTAAATAAATAAAAATAAATTAATCAAATATAGATAATATGAAAATGTTTGTTATCATTTGATATAAATTCACACAAGCGTTTGCTGCTAACTGCAAATATTTCATTTTGCTGGATTTAGTAATGAGAAGATTCATGTTCAAATCGATACAGCGCTACAGACATTCTCAAATACTTCCTACTAAACCTATTCTGCTCATATCAACATTGATCTATCCTAAAATCTTCAGGTTTCATTAAACAGATATAATCAGATATAAAGATTACATTAATGTTTGCCCTTATCTTATTCAACAGTAAAAACATTCTAGTTATTAAGGAAAAATAACATTTTCAATATTTTTGCAAAAACAATTTTTTTAATGAAATATTAAAGCTCTAAATTTAATGCATGTCCATTAGAAAGTTGCTAGTTTTCTATTTATTTATTATGGAAAAAATAACGTGAAGACAGTTTGTAACAGACAAACGGTTGAGTACACTAAATTGCCATTAGGCTTGTTAAAAAGCTCAGACGTTTTACTTTAAATTTCAATATTTATGATAAAATCATCTTTTGTGCTTCTCAAAAAATTTAATAAAATGTGATTACAGAATCGCCATTTCTTGTTTTCATGACACTATTGGGGACATACAAGGGTGCATCGGTGTGCTCAATGTTTTTTATTGGAATCTCTGGGGTATTGCTTGGTGAACCCCACAATTGTATCTGTGTTTTCTTCCGAGCAGTCAATATAATTTGCTGAATTTCAGACCTAGTTGCTTTGTCTTTGTCCACATATGTTCCTTCCGAGTGAGTCTTTTATCCAGATGCATGCCAAGGTATTTTACATGATCCTCTTGCAGTAAGACTTTGCTATTTAGGATTACTGGGGATGACACGGTTGGGGATGCAAGTATTGTGATACATCTTCTGGTTTACTGTCAGATGACATTAGTGCAGTGTCATCAGCGAATGTAGCGACAGTTATTTTATTTGTTATCAGGAGATCTGATGTGAAGATGAGTTAGAGAATATGTCCGAGTACGCTTTCATGTGGTACCCCGGACATAATTGGAAATAAGTTAGAATATTCATCTTGCATCTTTATGGAATAGTCTATCCGTTAGGTGTAATTTTATAATTTGAAAGAACGGGTATGGTAGCATTTTCTTAATTTTATAGTCCGGGATGCCATACTTTATCGAAGAGCAGTATTGATAAACTTGTTCCACAGTCGAATGCCCTTTGCAAAAACCAAACTGATGTTCCGGGAGTATTTTGTTTTCTTGGAGTATTGGTAGTAGACTGATTGTATGTACGATGATACTTCTTCCGCTGGTTTTCCAGGTTTGGGAATTACTATTAGCTGAGCTACTTTCCATTGAGCCGGATATATACCCAGGCGTAATATCACGTTAAATATAGTTGTTATTAGTTTAACGCCTCTCGGTGGGATTTCTTTCAGTACTTTTCCAGTGATTAGGTCGTATCCTGGTGAAATATTAACTAAAACTAAATTTATTTCGCTTCATTCATAATTAGGCCCAAGATTTGGGTCTCACCATTTCGCGCTTAATTAAAACTCGAATGAAAGCAGTTCGTCACTGGAAACTGGAAACAAAAATGGATTTATTAGGAGTCAGGCATTCACAGAAAAAAAATGCTTATTGCAAAACACTGGGATTTGGATTTTTCATATAACAAGAACATAATGCAACACATAAAAAAAATGAGAGAGAGCATAAATGAGAAGGTAGTTATATGGAAGTACTTAGTCATTATCGGG